AAGGACCAACCCAGACCCCCTGAATGTGGGTGTCAGTTAGTAGGCCTGGGAATTCTATGGGGCCTGTAGTCGTGGATCAGTATTTATCCCTAATATAGGAATGGACTTTGGGAGCCCATTGCACATAGAGTACTCTCTCAGCCTAGACACACAGAGGAGGGCCTGTGCCAATTGATGTGATAGACTTTGAAGATCCCCTACCTTCCTAGGGAGCAGAAAGGGGATGGGATAGTGGGTTGGTGGGGGGCAGGGGAGGAGTGGAGGGAGAGGGAACTGGCATTGACATGTAAAACAAGATTGTTCCTAATTCAAATAAAAGAGGGGAGGAGAAAAAACCTCCCCCCCCAAAAAAAAAGTGTTTCTAATACTGTCATTTAGATGAATGTGGGGATTAATTGATTAAATGAGGTATTTGTATATCTCTTAACTGCATGCCAGCACACAACCTAAAGGAATAGACGTTAAAACCTCTTCTGAGATATTAATGGTGGTTCTATTACTAATAAACTGTGCGACCCTGGACATATCAAATCTCTTAATATTCCTGTGCCTTTATGTTCTCATCCATGAGAATGAAAATTAAAGTAGCATCTTGTCTCTTAAGGCTCTCCTGGGAGTAACATGAGCCAGCATGTGTTAAAGTCTTAGCCCAAGGTCCAATAGAGAAATACCACTATGCTGGTGTGTTTTTTTTTTTACAATAGAATTGTCTAGTAACTTTTCTGTCACCTCCACTAGCCTTTCACAGTAGGAAAGAATTCTATCTGAATCATGTATACCATATAAATACAGTACAGCAAGGGCAGAGTAGATCGTTTCTTTGCCAAGATAGGAAAGGAAAAAATCAGGTAGCAAGGGAAGTAAAGCCATGGGTCGGAAACACAGGAATTTCACTGGAATGTCAAAAAGTTACGGCATGGCTCTAAGGGACAGAAGGGTGTCTGGTATAGTCCTATAGCCCTGCAATGCTCTCTTTTACTTTACTGCCCATAATATACCAGACAGTAGGAAGATGCTCCTCCTGGTCCTTGAAGTAGCTTCATCAAATATCTTCATTTCTCTCGAGCTGAGAAATAAGTAGGTGAACAAAAGTCCTCCTCGCCTACCTACTTCTTTATTTCATCTTGTTTAATTTTTGTGACCATAAAATATTTTGATGGTAACTTTTAAAAATTTTTTATTAGTTCAAATTAGAAACAAGCTTGCTTCAGATGTCAATCCCTTGAATAGGGCCCTCAACTGGGGCTCCTCAAAGTCCACCACATTATCCTTGGCTGGGCCTGGGCCCTTACCCATGTGTCCAGGGCAGGAGTGCATCCCTTCACATGAGATGGGCTCTCAAAGTCCCTTCTTACACCAGGGAAAAATATTAATCCACTACCAGGGGCCCCCTGGAGTTTAGAGACCTCCTCATTGACATCCATATTCAGGGGTCAGGATCAGTCCTGTACTAGCTTCCCAGACAGCATCTGGGGTCGATGTGATGTGCTCCCCCTTGTTCAGGCCAGCTGTTTCTGTGGGTTTCTCCAACCTGGTACCAACCCCTTCGATCTTCATTCCTCCCTCTCTTCAACTAAGTTCCAGAGTTCAGTTCAGTGTATATCTGTGGATGTCTGTCTCTGCTTCCATCAGCCACTGGATGAGAGCTCTAGGATGGCATAAAAAGTAGTCATCAATCTCATTTTAGGGGAAGACGTTTAGATTATCCTCTCCACAATTGCCTGGATTGTCAGTTTGTGTCATCCTTGTAGGTCTCTGGAAATCTCCCTAGTGCCAGATATCTCCTCGGACCTAAAATGGCTCCCTCTAATATGGTATCTCTCATCCTGCTCTCTCTCTCCTCTATTCTTCCCCCAACTCAATATTTCTGCTCCTCCATTTCCTCTCCTCCACTCCTCTAATACACGTTCATACAACAAGGACATATGTTCAACCATGTTCATAGCAGCATTGTTTGTAATAGCCAGAACCTGGAAGCAACCTAGATGCCCCTCAACTAAAGAATGGATAGAGAAAATGTGGTACATTTATACAATGGAGTAGAAAAAAATGGAATCTTGAAATTTGCAGGCAAATGGATGGAACTAGAAGAAACCATCCTGAGTGAGGTAACCCAGTCACAAAAAGACAAACATGGTATGTGCTGACTCATATCTCATATATGAATTTTAGACATAGAGCAAAGGATTACCAGCCTGTAATCCTCTTCACCAAAGAAACTAGGAAACATTAAGGACTCTAAGGGATAAATGAATGGACCCCAGGAATGGGAAGGGACAGGGACTCCTGAGCTAGTTGGGAGCATGAGTGTAGGGGAGACGGAGCTGCCAGAATGATGGTAACGTTTAAAGTCCTACTGGCCTTGGACCTTTCAGCTACTTCCAGAACTCAAATGGGTCTCTAGCAGCTCCATCTCAAAGCCTTTCAATGGCATGTTTCATTTGGTGGAACTGGGGTCTTCTACTGCCTTGGAGACATGCTGTTATTTTCAGTAGATTTGAGGAGGTATTGTGTGAGACCATGTCTGATGATAGATACAGGAGCAAAGATCAGTTGAGGCTATCCTTGCACGTTTTCATTCATGAAAATGCATGTTGAGTTGATAACTTAGTGGTAGATCACTTTGATAGCATTAATGAGACCCTGGGCTCAATCCCCAGCAATGCTAAAATGACAACAAAGAAGAAAATGCTATCTTAAAAACAGGAACAAGAGAACAATTAATCTTCTAAATAAATGGTCCGTTACACTGAAAGACAGTGCTGTAAATGGCTAAAGCACTTGAACTCAGACTCCAGTTTCACCTGACTGAAATGGCCAGCTTCAGTTGTTACTAATTCACTTCTCCTTTCTGATGCTTTGTTATCTTTAAAGTAGATATCACAAAACCATCCCCCTATGATTACCTCCTTTGGAAGGAGGTATGAAATACACATCACACAGGATTTGGCATCTTGGTTCTGGCTTAATTATCTATTTTCAAAGGTTCCCTTTTGAGATCTTTCAAGGAGGCTGTTTTTGTTAGTGTTACTATTGTTGCATTAAAACACCATGACCCAAAAGAATGTTGCAAATAGAAGGGATTATTTGACTTCCACTTCCTCACTGTAATCTATCATTGAAGGAAGCCAGGACAGGAACTCAAAAGGCAGGAATCTGGAGGCAGTTGGTGATACAGAGGCCATGGAGGAATGTTGCTCACTGTTTAGCTTCTCAAGGTTTCCTTGCTCAGTCTGTTTTCTTACAAAACATAGGAAAGAGCCCAGGAATGGCATCATCCACAATGGGCTGGGTCCTTCCTTGTCAATCAACAAGTAAGAAAACGTCCTACAGCCTTGACTACAGCTAGGTCTTACGGAAGTATTTTCCTGATTGGTGTTCCCTCCTCTCAAATGATATTAGCATTATTTGAACAACTGATGTACCATTTCTTAAAAAGTCCCCTTCTTCCTGCCCACATACATACCCTCACCATGTTCTGGATCTCTGACTTCTTTGATTCTTCTCTAGGTATAGAATTTCTCAGTGTCTTAATCCCTATCTTTCAATTCCGTATCTTTTAAAAGTTCTAAAAAATAGTACCAGGCAACATGCCTATAATTCCAGCACTTGGGAGGCATAGGAGGTGGATCAAGACTTTAAGGCCCGAATGCACTACATAGATGTCATCTTAAAAACCTGACCCAACTCATTAACTCACTCCCCAACAAATAAATAAATAAGCAAATACAAAACACAAAAATGTGGAGATTAAGAATAGTAAATCCTGCACTCCTCCTTTCAGAGTCAAAGATTTTTAGTGTCTTGGCACTGTACTTACTACTCCTTTTTCATTATTCTTTTGGTAATCAACTATTCATAGCCTATGAATCATTGTCCTCCTTTCTTACATGTTCCTCTGAATCTATCTCTGCAGCAGTTCTCATATTCATCCTCTTTCCCATACACTCTGTACATGTTCCCATTTAATCTTGTACCTGTTCTTTTGGGTCATTACAAAGCCTTCTAGATGCTCACTCAGTGTGGTACACATTCTATTACCTGGGTGCCCAGAGTGTCCTTTATGGTTCAAACATATAATCAATTCATTTTGTTGCTCTGAGACCTTCTGTGACAGTTTTTTAAAAGGCCCTCATATACACCCCCACCTTGGTGAAACACTCAAGCCTCCCATAGTGTGGTATGAGAGCCTCATCTTTAGTCAGTCCTGGGTTTGGTGTTGCCTGCATCTGTTCAGCACCCTGTCCTCAGGGATGCTTCACAAGTCCAATCCTGGAAACTGCTTTTTCTAATGCCAAATCCCCATCTATCCTTCAAACCATGTCTTAAATCTTCACTCGTCCATAAAACTTTCCTAGGTCTTCCAAGTTAAAATGAATTGCTCTCTCCCATATTCCTAGCATCTCCTTTCATGGAAAACATAAGCCATGAATTAGGTTTAAGGCTCCTAAGGATCCCATTTTTCGCCCTGACTAGCTTATGATACCCTGGCTGGTAAGGGCGGAGTGGCATTTATCCTTGAGTCTCTGTGTCAGGCTTTGAGCCTGGCATATCCTAAGCTCTTGGTTGAAACATATGTGAAATTAAGCTTTCTGGAGAATTTTTTAAGAGGTAGGCTCATCATATATAGAATAGTAGTTTCCCATTATTTAGTACACTCTGTGGACCTCCTTTTTTACATGGCATATTTCTTTCTTATCTTAAAAGCAAGCCCACAAGATTAAAAGTTACTTCCTTTCTTTTAGAGATAGCTCAGAGCTCAGAAAGGTGAAATAGCACCTCAAGGTCATACACCTTGGAAGCTGCTGGACCATGATTAGAACACAGATCTGCTTCACTGCCTATGTCAACTCCTTCCATTAATCATGAAGACACCTGGATCACCGTGGATCAGCAGTGAGAAGCCTGAGGATAGTGCTGTGGGTCTCTGGGATGGCTGAGGGCTTTAACAAACTTCTAGTATCCTGCAAGGCTGACTGATTGATGGTACTTCTCTGCAGGGGGAATCAGCTTTGGGAGAACCAAGGGGACATCAGGCTCAGAAGCGGATGACGAAACACAGCTGACGTTCTACACAGAACAGTACCGCAGTCGACGCCGCAGCAAAGGTAATCAAGTCCTTGGGAAGCTTCCAGAACTTCCATGTGTATCTACAAAGTTCAGGGACAAAATTTCATGACAAGTAGCAAATATCAATTTGTTTCAACACATTTATCACTGAGCTCAGCATCACATTGCTGGTCACATTGCTGAACTTCCATCCTGCCTTTTCTGGTCCATTCCTTACTTATTCCATATCCTACATCACAAGCCTCAAAATAATTAGAGACAATTTCCCCTAAATGTGTGCATATTGGATTTTCAGTACAGGAAATGAAATAACTAGCCATATTAAGAAGAAACTAGTGCTTAAAATAAATCATATTTGGGTTAGAAGTGTACCGGGTAATCCATACCATGGGCAGCAGGGCAGTTCTCAGCATGAGCTACCAATTTAATTTTGCAATTCTTAGCAGAAAAGTGTTAAGGGAATATTCTCAAGTGTGAATATGTAGGTTCTGTAGGATGGAATTTAACATTTATCCATGATACTTTGCTTCCCTACATCTAAAATTCTGTGGTTGGCCCCTATCAACAAGGCATTGTGTGACCCACTCAAGAATGTCTTCAGCATTTATTCATTACAATGACAGTTGATATAAGGGATATCAAATGCTGGGACAAGAATCATTACATGGCTGCACCTGCAGCTGAAATCTGTAATTCTCTGATGATTCAGTGGGGTATATAAGAAAACAGCATATTTCAGGAGGACTTATATAAAAGTAATCCCTCATTTCTGAGTATTACCTAAGGCTGGAAATTAGTAAATGTGAAGAGATGTTTGCAGAAGAGACTCTGGGGTGTAAACATATATTAAACGCTAAGGATTGGCACAGATCTCCAGGCTTTGACCACTCAATAAAAGGGTGAGTCCTATATTGCAGGTGAAGGCATGCCTGTCACCTGGCATAGACAGTCATTATGAGAACTATGTTTAATTATTAATCTTGGTGGGTTATGGATGTGTCAGAATTTCTGCCATCCACCACCTTTGCACAAATGGGAGCTAAACTGTTGCCTGAGGCAGGAACATCTGTTCACAATGGACATTTCATAGTATGCCATGAATCACATACCTTTGGGCACATTTTGCCCTTAGGCAAGTTATTTACATTCCGTCATCTGTAGAATGGGCTTTGTAATGACTGCAACTGCCTTTGGAGTTGGCTATTGATTTTTATCACATTATATAAAAAGTCATCACAGTGCAAGGGGAAAATGGAGGTAGACATTATTAATGTAACTTGAGCTCCCATTGCTTAAATTTTAGTCTCCCTACCCTTAGTACCTGTCATGAAAAAGGGCTCCAAATGGGAAGTACTTCCATTAACACATCCCCTAGGAGGAATTTTCAGCCTCTACAACCCTTAAAATAATAGATCCTGCTTCTCAGTCTATCCTACGCTTTAGCTTTCTGGGATCTATTGCACTGAAGATTTAGAAGTTGGTGATCGATGATTCTTAACTTGCCTTCTCCCTCCTCCAATCCCACAGCCAAAATTAGAACCAGGGAATGGAGGGTCTCCCCAGAAGTACTGGGCTATTTACAGCTAATTGGAAAAACATCCATCACTGAGCTTTCACCCTATAAATTGGAGTTAAACTTAAAAAGAAAACCAAAGGCAAGTGAGAGGACTTGAGATAAACGATTTGGTTCACTGCCCCCAGACACTATAGATGGCCTGGCTGTTTTCTCAGGATAGTGAGGGTAACAGGGCTGTGGCATCCTCTCCATCCTGTCCTAGCATTGCTTATTAAAGCAATACTCAAGCCATTTTCTTCATCTTCCTTATACTTATGTCCCAATAATAGCACAGACTTCTTCCTCTGCTTCTGAGTTCTGGCACACTTCTCTTCCTTTGCAGGATCCTGTGTTAACTCAATTATTTGCCCATTTCTTTTATTTGTTTCTTTTTTCTCTTATCCCCTGCCTCTATTTACTGCCACATTCTCTTCCATCTTTCCTTTCCTTCTCTTCTCATCACTCCCTCTTTTCTTCTCTTCTTCCTTTTCTGCTTTGTACTCCAGCCATTTCCTAGTTAGTCTTTCCTTATCTTCTCCGCTCCTTGAGTACATACCACAAACAATTCAACAAATAGCAACCACATGGGGACAAAAGCAAGTGAAAGTTTAAAAATCCTTATCCATATGGAGTTTGCACTATATAAAAATATGAAGTTATTGGTTGATGAAAATCAGTGAGGAAAAAACACACAGTGAAGAAGAGAGACAAATGAGGCAAGAAATGCATATTAGACCCCAGAGCATAATTCCCTCCCCTTTGTGCTGGATCACAAGCAGGTGAGACTGGTCTTGGTGTTGCATTTTTAATAACGCACTTGGTCTTGTTGTGGCTGTCAGTCTTGTTGCCATTCTTGGGGCTGCTACTGCCCATCTTTTACTGAAGATATAATGTTGACCAGTTCATCGCAAAGCCTCTGTTCCAGCCAAGTGAACTTAGCATCCAATGTCCAGTTCTTCAGATGCCATAGTTCTGCATGCAAGTGTTGTGTGCCCTCTTTGTTCTTCTTATACTATGTAAGAGTCTGCTGCACTCATCACATTTGGGGGGAAAATATATAGTATAAAAGTGAGCCAAGAAAGGCCTGAGAGGCATCAGGAACATGGATTCTGATGCTGGGCTACCTGAGTTTGAATTCTATCCCTGACACTTACTAGTATCATATTAAACATGTGACTTGGACATCACTGTGTATTGATTTCCTGAACTATAAAATGAAGATATAAGACTAACAGTCTAGAAGAGAGTCCTAAATATTAAAATTGATTAATAATCTATAGAGAATTTAGGCAGATATAGGTGGAGTAAAGACATTGAAAAAGAGATAAACTACTGAGGAAGGACCCTGGGTCCAGTGTATGTCTAGGGAGGAGGTAATCTCATCTCTCTTGGAAAGTCATGTCACTCTTTGATATTAGTTAATATCTATTCCCTCTGTTCTATGCCTTGGGTGTGAATCTCTCTTCTTTGAATGTGCTTACCTTAGTTTCTGTCTTGTTTAAATCTTTGCCCAAGGCCTTCCCATTCATTGTTTCTCAAGGGTGTGTGCCACAGACACAGGGATGGCTTCAGACATCTAGGTTGACTATGCTTCTCACCTTCTTCTTCCCCAACATCCCAGCACTCACCCATCTCTGTGGCTGCGATCCAAACTCCTCCTTGGCAAATAAAGTGAGTCAGAAGTTCCCTGTGGTCTTCCCAGCATGTGAGAGGCAGTCAGGCTTACAAGCAAAAGCTAAAGTATAGGGAAGTCAAGGAGAAATAGATAAAAATAACAGGAAAGGCAAATCCCTGTGCTGTAGGAAACAGCTCTCTTGTAGCATTTGGGATTCCATATTAACTCACTGTGCCCTCTTCATATTCATCCAAAAATAAGACCTGTGCTCTTTGCCAAGTCAGGAAGCATGTAGCATTTGACTACTGCCATCTTTGAAGTACCCAGAAAAAATGATATTTCTGGGGCTATTTGAGGACAATAGGACCAGTGGATACCAGGGGTTGCCACTGCTTTCCTGTGTGACCTTGAATAAATTGTTTCCCATATCTGAGTTTCATTTTCTCAGGCAATAAGGAGGTTTATGAGGCCTATTTAAGAGTACTCAGTGTACAGTGCTTTACACTGACTAAGTTCTTCCAAGGGACCAAGCACTGGGCTATTGTGCTATTGAAAAAGATGATGGAAGACAAAAAAGGCAAATATATCCAACCTCAACACTTTCATTATCCCAGATTTGAGTGAAGAAGAATAAGATGGAGAAAGTGTAGGTAGGGGCCTCTGTTATTAGAGTTCAGCTTGAAATATTACCTAGATCTCAGACATGTCTTTGCCTCTTCTCATCCACTCACCATGGGCCAACACCATCAACATTCTCTTCTCTGGAATGAGGGAATAATCTGACAATTAGTCTCACAAGGTTAAGTGAGATAATGGTGATGACTTTTATGTTCTCTCTTCTCTTCTCTTCTCTTTTCTTCTCTTCTTTTCTCTTCTCTTCTCTTCCATTGTGGTCTGGACACTTGCCTCTTCTCAATCTATGGTCACAGCCCCCACAGTGGTCACATCAAATATCTTATATATGACATGTTTGCATTATTATTCATAACAGCATCAAAATTACAATTATGAAATAGCAACAAAATAATTTTATGGTTGTCGGTTAAAGGGTCACAGCATTGGGATTGGTGAGAATAACTGGTTTAGAATCTGCCAAAAGCCTCTCCTGGAAGGTCTTTCTCCATTTATGCAACCTATCCCCATCCTGTACCCAAAGTAACCATTCTTATAATGTTATTAGGAAGTATGTCACTCATTTAGAAGATGCCAAAGCCTTTTGTATTTACAATTTTACAAAATAGTTTACTAACCCATCTTCAAACTAAAGCGGTGTTTTTATTATTCTTGTTGTTTCCACAGCTTTCCAGAGTCTTCCTGCTCTATTGTCATAGGAATCCTCTTCCCAGCATTCTTGCCCCTGCCTTGCAAAGCCTTCTATATGAGATGTGTGCAATATTATTCATAACAGCAGCAAAATAGACACACACAGAGAGAGAGAGAGAGACAGAGAGAGAGAGCGAGAGAGAAAGAGAGAGAGAAAGAGAGAGAGAGCACCTCTGCTGGGATGGTCTCTTCTTCTCTGACTGTTGTCACTCACTCTAATTTCTACACTTAAATGGCATCTTCCACATATGTATCTCACACCACAGGGAATTTCCCTGTTTTATTCCTTTGGGATCCCCTGGTCTTCCCACTTTATAGACTCCATACTATAATATTTGAACATTTATTCTGGTGTGTTCAAGGTAAAATTACGTTCTCCATAGAACTGGCGACTTCATGATGATAAGAAGACCATGTCAAACTTGCTGCCTCCAGAACCAAATGCAGGTATGAATGACAGTGGATGCTGGGTAGCAATTTTGAATAAATGAGTAATGAGAAAAGTCAATGAAAAAAATGGCAGAGGGATTGGAGTGATTATGAAG